GGGTAAGAAAATGCTCCATGTACTCATGGACACCAAAACTAAATGATCAGCCAATTAAAACAATGTATAAGAGTTATAACTAATGTATAAAGGTATTTAGAATGTAAAACAGCACAGTATGCCAATAGGAATTATAATAATTTCCCTCAGTGGTTGGTATTCTGAAAGTTAATTATCCATGCAGCTGTAATTGAAGGGATGTTAATGGAATAAAGCACCTTACATGCTTAACAGCTTCTTCTTTATGTGTTTCACAAGGGAGTATAAGTCTTAGACTATTTGGAAAGAGAATCTTACAGTCTTTCAGGGTTATTGATTAATTTGTAAAAATAAATTGTTGTTTATTTTAAATGTTATTTACTATTTCAAATGTTGAATAAATTTAGAATGAGTAACAGATGTCTTATTTTCTAATTGTAGGTTATCTTGCAGAACCATCACAGAAATATCCCAGTGTTTTTACGAAAGGTTTGTTAGAGTGTAGTGTATAAGATTCCACTGAAAGAGAAACATTAAGCCCTGCAGCTAGCAAATAAAATTTTTCTTCGGGGTTTTATTCATTTTGTTTTTTTTTTGTGACAAGTTCTTATCAGAATGTCTCTTATAAAGTAGAATGTTGTCACTTTGCAAGAACTGCATCTAACAAATAACTGAAGTCACACCTTTATTAGGTGACACCATATAGAGTGGTCACCTTGTATTGAGAGGTCAGTTGTCAAAGTCCCGACTTAATGTTTCCCTGAAACACTGCAATTTTTATCTCTACTAAGCCATTAGGTCACCTTAATGTGAGTCCCAAGAGCCTGTTTGTATTGTTTTCCACCTGTATTGAACAGTCACTGAAAGCGGAAATGCTCAAAGAAAACTAATAATAACAATAATAAATCATAAGAACATTTCATGGCCTCAGCTTATGCATTTCTGTTCAAACATATTTCTTTTTGCAGATTCACTCTTTGATAAATTCCCATTTTTCCTTCCCTGCCTGTTACACTGTGCTGCACTCTTACTTACAGTTGTGTTGGCCTACTTCTACTTACCAGAGACTCTTGTTACAAGGTAGCGATATTAGCTAGTAATACAATATAGGCTCTGAACAACCAGCTGTTGTACAGGAAATGAGCCTACGATCAGGCTTAATTGAATTCAGAGCCCTTTAGTCAGATAGCACAAAGTTAGTCATTTAACTCTCTCGCTTCCAAAACCTCATAAGTAATTCTACTCACTGTCTGCTATACAATTATTATGATGTTAGTTTGTAGAATTTGGCACTGGATCAGTTAATTATCCCCTTGTTGACTTTTTTCTCTATTCTTATCACTTTTCTGTGTACATAGTGACCATTACATTGCATGATATTGTGCAGAGAGACTCTGTCTGGGTCACTCATGGAAGTTAAGGGTTATTGTCTTCTTCCTCTCATTACTTTTTCTCTTGTCCATGTTTGTTATTAATTTCATCAGTTCTGTTGGTTTGTTGAAAGTCATGAATTAAATTTTGTACCATTATTAGACCATCATAGATTTTTCAATTTTTTTTGCTACTCAGTGATGATGAGACATCATCAAGCGGTTCAGAAACTGGTGAATTGGCCATGCAAAGCACAGCTTCCAACAGTTTAATTGATGAAGATGATGAAAATAGCTGCACACAAAAAAAAAGTCTGGAAGAAACAGAGGAAGTAGAAATATTTATCAATGATGTGAACAAAGAGGACATTGACAATGACAGAAACTGTTCTGGTTTTAAGAGTCGCTGTTGTCCAAGATATAGATGTTGTAAATTCTTCAGAGACAGTAAAATTGCAGTTTTATTGAGGTAATATAAGTTTCCAGAGAGCTCATGTTATTTCAAGATATTTTGAAAATACTTTTTACTGTCTTACAGTGTTGATAAGAAAGGAACAAATTAATGCACATTTTAGTTCATGGCACGTGCAGTTTAAGGTTACATATTGTGTTTAAACAATAATGCATGAATTCCTTGTTCTCTTAATTTTCAGGGATCGTGTTGTAACCCTTGCCATTTGTGTGTATTGTTCACTTTCATTCATTGTCATTGGTTATGATGAGTTGTTTTCTTTGTGGGCTGCCACAGGACCTGAACATGGTAAGGTGTTTTTGACAGAAAAATAGGGAGGGTAAGTTTTGAGCATGGATCACAAGTTTGCATGGATCACATTTTGAAATTCTGACCATGCTGTAAAATCCCTCTATTTATTAAATATGCAAGTTTGTTTAGTGGTTATTAATCAAGGCTTGATTCTTACTTATGACAAAATACATTTGGCCTTCAAAGATTGTTTTTTCCTAAATGTGAAAAATGAAGTATATTTGAGTGATGTACGTGTAAAGCATGGTCTGCTTTTTTGATGGTAAAGGCATCATACATTAGTAGTCCCATTCAACCAACCATTTTTGCCAGAGTCATCTGACTCCTAATCATACTGAATTTAAGATCCTTTTTTTTAAATTGAACATGAGTGCATATGGAAATCTCCTCACCCTTCCAGAAAATGGTGATTTCTGAAAAGAAAAAAAAAAGAATAAAGCTACTGTTACAGTCAGCTTATTTGCATTCAAACAATTTGCCCTTCACACAGCAAAGTCAATCATGCACTAACATTAGTGTTATGTGTGATTTATACAGGTGGACTTGGCTTTTCTACTGACCAGATAGGCACTGCATTACTATGTGTAGCAGGACCTATGTTAGTTCTTCAATTTTGGGTTTATCCAAAGGTAAATGTTAAGGCCTTGGTTGCTTGATTAGGGTGGTTAATGCTATCCACTGAATAAATCTCAATCCAGTGGATAGTTCAATAGGTTTTGTTAACTCTTACATGTAGAATAGTATTATCCATCTTTTGAACAACTGGGGAAAAATGTTTGTTTTTTACTATAATTGGCTATACACTTCCGGTTTTGAAACAAATGAATCATTACATGTGTATTGATTTGCTCTTTTTCTTTACTTCTTCCTTTTAGTTTGAAAGGTGCCTTGGATCAATCAGGGTAATGCATGTTGTTTTGATGTCATTTTTGGATTTGTTTTATTATTTACTAAATATTGTACCCATTTTCACAAATAGATGAGAATGTTTGGAATTTCCTATTAATTATTGGAATTGTTCACAGGTTTTTCAATTGGCAAATGTTGTCTTGGGAATCACAATTGCTTCTTTGTCAGCCTTGAATACCCTTCATGACAGGTTGGTTCCAAAGAAATGACATGGTTGATGTAAAGTACATGTAATAGTTGATGAAAGAGGCTAGTGGCAAAAAAAAGGTAATTCAGCTAAGGGACTTTCATGTAGAGAGTATGGAGAAAAGTGGAGAGGAAGAATGCTAAAGAAAAATTAGTAGATAAAAAGTCTCTAAAGAGAAGAAGATCTTTCCTAAAGGCAAATTTTATGATAAGTATGAACTAAAAATGAGGGGTCAGGATTGAAATGGCTCAAACATCACAATCAACCTTCATTGACATCTACTGATGATCTTCTCCAATCTCGTTACAGGTCAAAAGTTCTCTGGCCATTGATGATTGTTGTTCTCATTCCAATGAGGTTGGGTATTGGTTGTGGCTTTAGCTCCACAGGAATCCTTGTCAACAATGCGGTACCTGCTTACCTCTTAGGCTCTGCAAATGGACTTGCAATGACAGCAAGTTCCATATCCAGGTAGATTCATCTAAAATATCTTATTTCTACTGAAATGATTACCTCCCCAATATATTTGAGGCACTGTAAGGGACAAGGATAATGCATTGGTTAAGGACCTTTCCTGATATTGCTGTGGCACTGATTGTTTTTTTAAGACCTTGGGTAACAACTGATTAGTTCTGCTCTTTGCTGTCCGTGTTTTTCTTTGGGTTCTCTTATTTGATTAAAACTCAGCTTTCCTCCACATGCACCTCTTAACTATTTGTTTTACATGTAACTCTCCCATATTAGCTCAATCAACAAATTATATTTGTATCTAGTTCATTTTAGGGTGACTCAAAATGGTTTGGTTACAAGGGGGTTGTGGGCGAACTTAATTTGTCAAAAAAATAATGTAACTCTGAACGTACATTTGCAGAAAGATGAATTTTAGTACGCTGATGGTAATTCCATAATAATGATCGATGAAGATCACCACAATTTTTGTTAGTCATAGAATCATAATGCTAACATATGGCTGTTTCTAATTGGCTGCAGCGTAGCGTGGTAATCTGCAACATGTCATTTTGGAAAAAATTATCTAAACTTGTTAAGCGTTAGTTGGCATTTTTCCGATACGCTTTTCAAGGTAACTGAGTTTTACTCAGGTTTATTGCGTTCTTTTTCCTTCAGAACCTTAGCTCCAATTTTTGCTGGGAGTGTGTTTGCCTGGTCGATAAGTAAGGGCTACAAACACGGATTTCCGCTTGACGAACACTTTGCTTTCATATTGCTTTCCATCGTGTGTTTCCTGGCTGTTCTGCTGAGCTTTACTCTTCCCAAGAGACTGAACATGAGACCGTCAGCGCCAGTGAAAGTATGAAGACAGAAGCCCGCATTTTCTTTCCCATCATTCAGTGTTCACACTGTATAGAAAAGGGAGGGGCGGCAACACAATGACAGCATGCTTGGCGCAACGTCATATTTATGCCACTCAGGCATTCGAGACTACCAGGATGGGGGTAGCCTCATCTTTTGGAAGGAGCTGCACGCTGTTTTTAGAGGAAATGACAGATGGATTAGAACAATAAAAACTGTTACAATTTAAAAAATTACAGTTCAAGTTTGAAAGCATTGGGTTAAAGTTTAAAGATGCACAAACTCTGGGCTCCTTTAAAACTAGAATAACTTTAATAGGACTTAATCAAAAGCTCGTTAGATAGATTTTAAATTTAATAGCATATTTAGTACAATTTTATGGTCTATTTTTGATTGTGGTACTTACATCTATTTGTTTGGTGGTGTTCTCGTTGTTAATGAGAGACGAATAGAAAAACGGTTATTAATCTATGTATGCCTGAATGAAAAAATTATGATAAAGCTCGTGTGGTTTTCGCGACGACGATACGCGAACATCGCTTCAATTTGTTTTAACTAACTAGCACGTCATGAATTTATTACGGAAATTCTCTCACTAGTTGTCTGAGGTATTTGATATGTTGTTCAGAACTAACGATAACATCCATCTTCAATCTATTAAACGCCCTAGATCTAAATCTACAACGTAATGTAACTCAAGTCTATAATAAAGTGCAATGTTCAGTTGAGAGTCTAGATTGATCCAGGATAATCTAGAAAAATCTCACCACCATTTCAACCAATTACATGGTACACTTGTTTTGGTCGTAGTTAACACAAGCATATTTCATGTTTTTATTTGCTCTTTTATTTCTTATTTTTTTCTGGTTTTTTCTTTTTCAATCGAAAATCGTCCTATTTTGCCGGCTTAATTTGAATCCAAACATTCAAGACGTCAAACGATTTTATAAAGATTCCGTGTGCCATTCGCTTACTTGGTAGAAGTTGGTGTCCTTCCACATTTACACTTGGAAAATTGAGCTAAATTTAATACAATTTTACTTTTACTTTACTTATAACTTAGCAAAATATTTTGACTAGTTTTTAGTATGCACATTAGTATGGAGCGCTGGAGTGCTTCTGTTCTTGTCGGTGTGTCTTGTGATGGGATATGATCTAAGTTAATCAATAAGAGATAATAAGGATTATTTTTCCTTAAATTATTAAATAGGTAATTTACACAAAACCAATATTGAAATTTCGGGCTATTTATTGAATTTCTTGCCAAAGGAAAATAATGCAAAAAAATACGCAAGCCTTGGATCAATGTTTCAAGAATTTTAAATCTGACAATTTTGTCAATTATTCCCATTTGCGAATAGATCAGTAATTTTCAATAATTGCTCCCCAAGGAAAAGAACAAAAACACTAAATTAAAAAATCACACACAGAAAGAATATTATCATAGGAATGAAATTGGTCAACGGCAGTGAGGGAGGAAATGAATAGTTGGTTAAGCAAAGAGTTCCAAAAAAATTCGTGACCGTTCCTAAATAGTCTCTTTTTAACTCTAAATCGATGTCAGTCCAGGCTATCATCGGCTGCTGATAACTGAATGCGGAAAAGAAATCAGAGATTACATTGGTTCTGCCTTACTTTGCCTATAGTCTCCTTTGCAGCCGGTTCCTGAGATGCGAAGGCGGCTACCATTCTCATCAATTGGTTTTGGAAAACTGGCGCAACATTTCCAACAAATCAGATTCAAAACCTGAACCGATTGCGGCTTTGCACACGCACTCGCGTCTTGCCGTGCTTCAGCATGTTTGGATCTTGAAAGGCTACTTGTCATATTCTCCATCGTCCTGATTGGCCTGCAACTGGGTGAAATGCGCTTTGATAAGCAAGTATTTTCCAACTTCGGCAACAGACACACCCGCCGTCCCATCCCCCTCAATTTAATTGTAAACTCACTATGTCCAGACCAGGACAATTCATAATTGCGGGTTCGATTATAAGAAACCTTGAAGCTTGTTCCCGATTTGGACGCGTTTGGCGCACAAAAATGTGTAGATATGATGTCATACAAGAAAATAAAGATGTTCTTTGCCTATTTTCCCCCAACTCCTGAGACAAAAAGAGGAATCAAAGATGCTTTGATTATCTGAATTGTAAATTTTTTCTTGTTAATATTCATTATTTTTCCTCGCCTGCACATGCTGCAAAAGGCGTCACTCGGTCGTAGAAGTTTATCTACCGTTGAAATCTTCTGGGGTGATTCATAAGGTTCGGTTTCACAGAAAGCTTCAGGCCAGGACATTGTCATTTCCAAATTGATCTGCGAGAAAACCTACTTGTGGTAACCCTGGCAAGAGACTGCCAATTCAGCCAGGACATGGCAAAACATGTTGACAAGGTGGAAAACAAAATGGCCGAACTATCATTTCATACATTCGAAGGTAATTATCAGGTTTAAATGTTGTTGGACGAACTTCAGTATGAGGAATTTTGTCTTGCGATAATTGTTCCTAACTCTCAATTCAAGCAAAGAACGACGTTAAAGTTGGGAATATGTTATTAGTATTACTGATTTTGCTATATTTCGTAGTATACTCATAAATATATTTCCGATGCTGCATTAAGACTATTTCATATGTTAAACGTTTTATGGAATTTTTGAGAATATTTTTGCCAAAACAGAACTTTGTCTTTGGCTTGGCAGAAAGTTTCTATTCAATGTAACTTGAAGGTATCAAGCTGAAACCACATGATTGCCACTATAGCTAGTTGCTTTTCAGTGGTCCTTGCAGTCATGAGAAACTACTCACTACATTCGTTCTGGTCTTCAAAGATGATTCTAACCAACTGTCTCATTTTCTTTCCTGTTAGGATTCTGTGTCAAGGTCCTTCCATTCTCTATTCAAGTTACATCTTGCAAATTGACAAGCGAGTGGACCAAAATCAAACTGACGAATGAGAAGTGGCTGGATTGAAATTAAAGTGGGAGATGGACAAGTCACTGGACTAAAATCTTACTGGCATGTTCTCAAGGTAGATTAAGTAATTAATTTTTTCAACTAAGCTGCGAAGGTGCACTCTAAGCTTACCTGTTATTTGGTACTCTTACAAACCAACATTAAAAGCATTTGGCGAGAAATTTTCGACAAGGTTACATTAGCAAAGAACGATTTACATGATTTTAGCTTCACTCGTTTTGAAAAAAAAATATTTAACAGAAACTTTCACGGTATGCATTTAGGTCATCTTGGATATCATATAACGAAAATCGTGTGGAAAACAATTCAAAGTATTAATAGATTGGGACTTTTCTTTACTGCGGCATAAAAAAATAGTCTAGATCGGATGCTATGGTGTTTTGTTCGTTCTGTTCATCATATTAAATCATGAACAATTTTATTAAAAAAACGACACTGTTGGCCAAAAAATGCAAATATGACATCGGATACAAAAATAGGGAGTGCTTTCAAGGATAAATTATAATTGAAATTAATCTCAAATCAACGAAATATTTGCCAAGTGAATCCGAGAGATCAATGGTAATACGTTCAAAAACCGTCTTGAATTTTGTGCACAATATCTCTCTCTTACAAAATAGGTGTGTCACAAAAACCACCTACACCCACAACTAACAATTACACCATGCTCTAAGCCCACCAATCTAATCATACTAACTACACGAAACTATACGAAAACCACCATATTTCCTCGGATAGGTGCCCACGCTCTAATGAGTGCCCTCTTTCGAAAAAGCATCCTCCCTTAGTCATAATATCAAACAAGCGCCCCTCCCCCTCCTCCCTCACTTTCTTAAATAGTAGGGATACAAGGAAAATCTGTTTCTATTTCCACTTTATTTATAACTTTTTAATACTCAACTAATTCGGAATCACTACAGATTAATAGTTCTTGACAAGCGCTCCCCTTCCGATAAGCGACTCTCCTTTTAGCCAGGACGCTCATTCGAGGAAATGCGGTATATCAACTAAACCAAACTGGACAAAGCACACAAAGGCCAGTAACTGGATCAAACAACACCAAGTACACCAAAGAATTCAACAATTTGAACTACGCTTAAGTCAAAAACTACTCCAAAATCAAAGAGCCAAATTGCACAACCACGACAAATACTGACACCAGCTTAAACAACCAAATGAACTACATAACTACACCAGCTATACCAGAAAAAAATCGAGTTGTACCAAACTTAACGTTAACCAAACCACAAAACCTTCATTGACTTCAACAATTACTGTAAGTACACCCCTCATCTTCAACGTCATCAAACTACACGAACCATATCCACTGCAACCAAATACAGCAACAGCCTCGCTTAAGCCTTAATTTAACTTCAACAAACTACGTTCATAGCACAATTACACCATGATATATGTCACTATATATGTACAATTATTTCATAAGACAGAGGTATTGATTAAAAACTCTAAATTATATTAAACTATCACAGAATCATATTCATCATATATTTCTGTAACATAATTACACTTAGCCAAACCAATTACTTCAAACTATACAAATGTTGTCGAATCTCGCCAAATTGTAATTACCGACAGAAAAATTCGCGTGAAAGAAAAATTGTATTTACACAAAGGATTTTGTTTATGATTGATTCATAAATTGGTAGAAACAACTTCCTGGTTTCTCAAATTGGCCCCAAACCGAGCTTGACTAAAGAATCTATGTACCAACTACATAAATTATGTGAAATAATATCTGGAAAATTATAGTGTAAAATTGAGATAAGTTTTTAGAAGGAGTTTTACATACCTGACGGTTGTCAAGAACGTATTACCAATTTTCGTTTAGAAATAGATTGATCTAACATGTGCAAACTTTTCATGAAATTTACACTGATATCTATTGGCGAAAAATTCTCTACTTAACTATCCAGTTCGGTTCCAAAAAATATTCTATACGATTTTTCTCCAGTCGCCATGTGTTATAATGCTACAATTTTACATTTATTTTTTGCAACAAAAACCACGACAAAGGCATTAAGGCATGCAGGCATAAATCGCTAACGTGCTGAAATATTGATCAGTTGTAGCTTTGTCTGAAGAACTTTGCAACTCTTGGTGAACTTGAAATTGAACTGAAAATTCGATTACATTTTTTATGGTAGACTTGAAAAGTAAAGGAAAGGAGAATAATCTTGACATCCCGCGAGAGAGAAGTTTAAATAAGAGCACTTTCGAAATATCAGATGTGACGGCTATCAATGAAAACAACAAGAAAACAGACATTGAGTAACACCAATTTACACGAAAGAAAATATTCTTTTAAAGAAAGCTAAGGTATTTTCTGATTCATGGAAAAGGAAAAACACTCTTTGAAAGTTTGGAACAATTGCTGGTTGTCAAACCATTAGAATATGAAATCTTGATTCATGAGAATAAAAAAAAATATTTGCGACCAAATGTATTTGCATAATTTCTTGCTCAAGTAGAGGAATGTCATCAGTTCGTAAACTGACAAAAAGCCTCACAAGGGAACAAATGAACAACACTTTTCTTTTTCCGAATGATTGCACGCCTTTACAACTCCATCAAACCGGAAAATAAGCCTTCGTGGAGGGTTGCTCCATTCGTTTCAAATAGAAAGACACTGAAACTTTCCAAAAAGTAAGTCGAAGAAAGAGATTGTTTCGATAGATAAAATAACTGAAGGTAGATCGGGAGAGAAAAATTTTGCCGCATGAATGTTGAATTTGTTTTCATAAA